CTGCCACTACCAGGGAAGTCCTATTCACTGTCTTCTCTCATTGATGGTTTTGTCAACTAAATTGAGAGGACAAAAAGTAAATGTACGGTGCTCTAACCGGGTTGGCGGATATGGAGAATCCATCTGGGGGGTTGGAAAACACTTATTCCAAACCAGTGGTGCAAATGGGATTTAGGATTCTAAGGAAATAAATGACGTATAAACCTGTTGTTGATCACTGGCTGCCATGGAGCTGCATCTCCTTACGTCTCTCCGCTGCCTCGTGGATTAGACGTTTAGGTCAAAGACTCGGGGAGTGGACCCCTAAGAAAACCATATGCTTCGGTTTGGGCGCCCGGACTTTAATTTTGATGAAACAAATAAAACCCTGTCCCAAACATTTGGAGGAAAGTCATCTCTATTTACTATCCGTTACCAGTGCTTGAAGATAACGAAAGAAGCAGATCACTGATTGAAACATGCAGGAATTGTGAACAGAGAATGCGAGAGGTTTAGACATCATCTTTGTACTATGTGTTCCACAAAAGCATGCAAAGGAAATCATTGTAAAACCCGAAAACGCCGTCAACTGAAAGTATATTCTATAAATTCAAGCCGCGAACAGGCAAAGTAACGGTAGCTCTTAACAGAATCGGTTCCTATAACCGTAGAAAGTGTGTTTCTCTCAAGATCAACGGGTAAGATACTCACTTACAGTTAGATACATCTTTCGATATAACACTTATGAGCAGCCATATATGATTCTCCAAGTGGTCCAGTAATGTCTATTTTAGAGACATTTCCTGTAGTGGGTTCAATTCTCATTATCTTCGAAACACAATATACAAGCAGTGACTTGCTAAGTTCATAGAAAAACGGTGTCTTGTTAAATGCTCATGAAATTGTTGCAGTACCAGCGCACAAAGTAACAAAAAATAACTAGAACAGTATAACAAACACAGTTGCACCAAACGAAGCTTATCATTCAGCGAAAAACGTTTCTGATGAATCTAGTTGTTTTACCAGTTATGGGTTATCTTAATGACCAACAAATATGTCAGATGAATCAAATGATGTGAATGGGTTTTGTGGAGATTTTCAGAAATTTCACAGGTTGAAATCAAAAGTCAATTGAAGCTAGATCACCATGGAAACCCTGGTCCTGGGTTCGAATCCCGCAGGGTGCGGGATCATGGATGCGCATTGCTGAGGAGTCCCATACTAGAACGAAACGGTTGTCTAGTGCTTCCAGGTTTTCCATGGTGGTCTAGCTTCAACTGACTCTTGATTTCGACCTGTGAAATTTCTAAAATCTCCACAAAACCCATTCTGATAATAATCATGTGCTCACTGTCGACTGACATCAAGAGGCCTTTCCTGGAGTTCTAGTGAGAAGCCATTACCAGTGGAGTTCAACTAAGTCTGTTGTGAAATATCAACTCACTGAAGACAATGGTGTACGGTGGTGCAACTTCGTGGATTGGTTGAAGTTAGACATTAACACCGTTGGATGCGGGCTCAATGGTTTTGTGGTTAAGTGCTCGCGCGCGAAACCAGTAGGTCCTAGGTTTGAATCCCGCAGGGTGCGGAATCGTGAATGCGCATTTATGAGGAGTCCCATACTAGAACGAAACGGCCGTCCAGTGCTTCCAGGTTTTCCATGGTGGTCTAGCTTCAACTGACTCTTGATTTCAACCTGTGGAATCAAATGATGGTCAAAAGCGTAATGCAATTTTGATAGATGCTGATTATTCTAGCGATCTATTATCTACTACTAATGAGATATTCAAAAAATGTGATGTCGTTCATCTTTACTATCTAGTCACTTTTAGTAGATTCTCTATTCAATGCAAGAAATATACATTAAATAAAGTCATCACATTAATTGTAACTTGGGAATATGAGGATGTAATATTATTTCGTGGGGGGGGGGGATAATTTAAAGTTAGCAACTAAACTTTGAGTCTTCAAAAAATAAAAAAAGGGGGGGGATGATATAATGGGATGAATAGTTAAAATTACATTCTTTTATTCAATATTACTTCCGTTTTTTAATTCAATTTATGGTGATTATTCAATGTAGTGTTTGTTTCTGTTTTCCTGTCTGTAATGTTATTCTATATAATAGACGATATTCTTGTATTTAATGGATATGAACTATGCTTAGACTGATATATAGCATGTGATTTATTATAACTATTGACTGCTTTATGTGTATGTGATTCTGATGTGAACAGGGAAAACAAGAAGCCCTGACAACCTACGAAAGCTATTTTCTTGGGACGTTATTTCATTTTATGCAAAGCTTGTAAAACACTAACATTAATTTTTGTCTCTAATCTATTCTACAGAACATAACCTTTCGTTCGATGTATGATTCATTGCCATACCCCTTTTCTGTTCCGAAGCTATTGTCATTTAAACATAATATTTTACACCCTATTTTCTACTCTAATTCCCAGCGTTGGACATAACTGTATTTTTCCTAATTATGGTACGTTGTGGTCGGGTTAGTCACCTATATTTATTCATGTAACTTTTTACACTAATCTGAAATCAGAAGAAATCAGGATATCAGGAATAGATTGAGTAGTGTTCCAGTTGTCTTGCCTTCTTTCATTCGCGTGCTTGTCAGCTAATCAAGTGATAGAATAGTTTTCTTCTCTATATCCCACTTCGAACTCACGCGTACTAGCCTCAAGGTTAGGTCGGTCAGCCTATCGCGCCAAGGTCATAATCTGGATTAGATAGGTATCCTCAGCACCAAAAGTGGGTAGGCAAACCCAAAGGACATAACAGTTTCTATTCTAAATATTAATCAATATGTGTGTACGACTAGAGTCATCGTCGTCGTCGTTGTCGTGGTGTTTTGGGGCTAATAAACCTTCATTTGTACCAGTTTTTGTGTTCTTACTTTAGTTTCATTGGAAGTGGTTCCTCGTTTTACAAGTATAAGTGATCAGTGATTCCGATATAACAATTAATGACGACCAGATATAACAATGAGTGTTCAATTATAGAACTTATCACCATCTCTCATACAAATCGAATATTTTGTATGGTGCATCGTTGTACAAATGTCATTGACTTAGTGGCGAGACTATAATTTATAGACGAACCAATCAGGTATAAGATAAAAGGTCTACGATTTGGGCGCGAAGTTCAGTTATCCATTTGACTAAATAGAGTTTTGGCATTATAGTTGTTGTCAATTTGTGATGAAAATCCCTGAAATCTAATTGCTAACCTTATTCATCAACTGTAAATCACAATTCTAATCCCCACACACTGATTTATAACCCTAGTCCTAGTTATTAGATGGATACTCTCAAGGTCAGTTTCGGATCGCTCAAAGGTCGTCCACAGTTTCACTGACTTAATGACAATTTCTGTAAATATGAATTAACAATACTTGTGAAATCATCTTTTGTGTATAAAAAGTTGGAGTATAAAATTTCAATAATCCCGCAAAACCTATGGTCAATAATTGATTAGATTTAAGTTACCATACCAATGAAATAAATATATGATCTCAACAATTGGATTCATGAGCCGATCTAAACTAAACTACCTGTTGTGACGTGTGACTGCAGATTAGAGTCAAGCGTTTTATCAATCGCTTCAGTGACACAGAAAACACGTACGGACAGCCTAGAGTCTCGATTGGCCCTGCTCCGCTGTCTAGCCCAGTTAGTTGAGTCAAGAAACACAAGTCACAGCCTCTGAGTTATGAATCGTTATATTTCAAATATACTCTGTTTATATACTAACCAAACAGACCACATCGTACCATAAAATAGAAAACAACATTTGTACAATATTTAACAAGTGGAATAAATACTGACCAATAGGAAATGTTCATTTAAAGTCCAAGGACACCATTGGACTTAACATGATAATGATTGGTATATTTTTCTGCACATTCTAACACTACCATTGAAAACCTGAAAGTATTAGATGGTCGTTTCGTCTCAGTATCAGACTCTTCAGTGATGGTCTAGTTTGGAATGATTTGTGACTTTAACTGTTAAAATACTAAAATGTATGATCGCCTACAAGATCAAAATACATGTTCATTATACATTATACAATGTGTCAACGTTCAAGTACCAGATACGGTACATCAGTTTATATCAATGACTGATCTCAACTGGAAATCCATTATAAACAGGAGAGGACTATACATATCTCATTCTAATATGACATATCTCAATGCTAAATGTTCACAATCTCATTAAAGATTGAATCTAAGGTATTTAGAACAAGATTGGGGAGGTATCTTTATAACATAACCATTCAATACTTCTCATTTACAACTTTTATCGATTTATTATCAAGTCATTGTTACCATGGTATTAATTTCTTTGATAAACTGTTATTTTACTGCCTTTTACTCCATGAAATAATCGTTTATAGTTCGAAAAAGAAAAGAACTTTGTTTTTATCTCTCATCAAATACAGAGAAAAAGAAAGGGGTCACGTCAATTTGACCATGTCAGTAAAATAGCAGAAGAAGAAGAAGAAGAAGAAGAAGAAGAAGAAGAAGAAGAAGGGAGAAGAGAGGTGAATAAAGACAGTTAGTTTATTGATAAAATGAAATGGAATTCAAAGCTGTCAGGATTAGTGATCTGATAACGAAGCATAAACTATAGAATAAGATCATGCAGATTGAGATTATTAAAGTAATATATATATGTATCTTCCCATTGTTATTTAAAACTGTAGGTAGATTCAACTGACGAATCTCTAATGGGACGAAACGCATGGATTCTTAAATTCCACTGCTAATCACTATCTATCTTTGTTAATAAAAACTAGATATAACATTTATATATTTACAATGTAGTAGAATATCAATTTAGTTTATCAATTGAGATCATTTTAGTAAGTTAGTAGGTTAAGTTTAATGAGGTTGATGATAACAACTAAAGAGTTATAGTGTATTACATATCTAAGATGATGATGATGATGATGATGATACTATCTCTTTTATTACTATTTATCACTGTCATAATTAGAAAATGTTGCATTTGTTAAAGAATTTACTCACCCATGATGATGATTTGGATGATGATGATGATGCTTTCGATGATAATGATGATGCTTTGGATGATGATGATGATGATGATGGTGATTTGGATGATGATTATTATTATTATTTGGATGATGATGATGATGATGATGGTGATGCTTTGGATGATGATGATGATGTTGGTGATTTGGATGATAATGATGATTTGGATGATGACGACGATGATGAGTGTAAAATATATTAACGATACAAGATAAAATATTCTATCAATGTAATGTGTAATTATGAAAGACAGAAGTCTTCAGAAAGTTTAGGCGTGTATGAACGTTTAGTATCATAAGGGGTATTGTGGAGATTGTAGTAATTTCAATGGTTGAGATCATGAATCAACTGAAGCTAAACCACTATGGAAAACCTGGAGCACTGGACGGTCGTTTCATCCTGAGTTCGAATCTCAAGAGGCGGGATTGTCAATGAGTACCACAGAGGAGTTCCATAATAGAATGAAATGACCGTCCAGTGCTTCCAAGTTTTTCATGGTGGTCTAATTTCAATTGGCTCATGATCTCAACAATTGAAATGACTAAATTCTCCACAAAACCCTCTTCTGATAACAATCTGAAAACATTTATTAATAATATAAAAAGGATTATACATTCTGTAATTTACACTTTGAGAAACCGAAACGTGAAGAACTCCAACAACCATCATAATTGAAGGACAAGAGTTTTCTACACAAGCTACTCAATATCCGTTGATATAATATCATCAGCAACAGCCTACCGTGAGAGAGAACAAACCAACTTTCACATGAAGAGGAAATTAGGAGAAGACATTGGAATTGGATAGAACACACATTGAGGAAATCATCAAACTATATCACTAGAGAAGCGCTAGACTGGAATCCTGAAAGGAAACGGAAAAGAAGAAGGCCAAACAATGCACTACGTCGAGAATCGGAAGCAGATATGAAAAGGATCAATAGCAACTGGAAAGGACTGGAAAGAATTGCCCAGGACAGGGTTGGATGGAGAATGCTGATGTTCGGCCTATGCTCCTCGACGAGGTGTTACAAGCGTAAGTAAGTAAATAAGTAAGTAATTTACACTGCTTGTATAATAACTTAATCATGTTACATATTTTCTGATTGGTTAAACGGAATGGAAAATTTTCTTAAGGTCATTCACCAATCACTCAAATTTGTCCTAATTGCCAAACTTTATCAGCAACTGCTTTGAAGCTTATATGACCCTGTGCAACAGTCTAATTCATTAAAATACAGATTTATATGGTTAAGACAGCTATAGTATGTTTGTTCAGCTCTAAAGTCAAATTATTTTTCAAATAGCTTCTGACTAACATATAACAAGTTTCAGTTATTTAGATTAATATCATGAATGAATCAATATTGGACCACCATTGACAACCTGAAAGCACTGGACGGCTGTTTCGTTCTATTGTGGGACTCCTAAGCAGCGCGCATCCACAATTCAACCTAGGGCTTTTGGTCTTGCGTGCAAATGCTTAACTTCTAAACTTCAACTAATCCAAGAAATTGTGCGACCATCTCCTATTGTACTGAGGTAGATATCTGTCTCTACTCAACATGGTTAATGGGTAAATCTATGGAATGTTTATCTTTTCTTACAAAGATTTTAGTCAACCAGTCACTTAAACAGTGATCTTGAGTGCTGGTAGAGGTATGAGGGCGGGACCAGTAGGTCCTAGGTTCGAATCTCGCAGGGGGCGAGGTCATGGGTGCGCACTGCTGATAAGTCCCACAGTACGAAGAAATGGCCGTTTAGTGCTTCCAGGTTTTCCATGGTGATCTAGCTTCAACTGACTCATGATCTTAACCATTGAAATTAATAAAGATTAGTTAACAATAAACTTGTCAGTCAGTTTAGCCGCATAGATGATACTGTAGTGCACGAGAATACAAGTGAGGACAATAAAATATAAAATTACAAAATCTCTTAGTGAAATCTGAGAACCATACAGTAAATAATTCATTTACAAAATGTCAATCAATCGTCTCAGACTTCATTGTTCCTTTATTTCTACACTGATCATTCACTGTTCTCGTTCTTTTTTCTTTGATCTTCTTAATCTTTTAGTGCCAGACACTTCACTGTCGATTCATGATACATACTACTTATATCCGTCGACATCAGTAGCACATACCACATTACACATTATGGTGTCAAGTGAGATTTTTTCGGGTTTAATTTTTTAATTATGTAAACACGTGATTTATGGATTAGATTAGTGAGAGTGTAGTCCTAATCACTGACTTCTCGCAGCATTACTATTGTTTACGAAATTGAAAGGATGAAAACGAATGTCTGGCGTTCAAAATGGGTTGATGATGGATATGGATGATTCACTTAGGGGAGTTGAAATACCCTGATCAGAAACCATTGGTACACATGGGCTCCAGGATCCTGAAACAAAAAATGGCGTATCAATCAACTGTTGACCACCGGCTTCTATAAGACTGCATCTACTTACGTTGCTTCACTTCCTTGTGGATTAGACCTTTTGGTCGAAAGATCCGAGTATGCCACCCTAGTAAAACTACCTGCTTTAATTTGCGCAACCGGTCAGTATCACAGCCCTCACACAAATCAAGTAACCTTTGCGTGGCACATATGTATTCGGTACCACTTTGTATCAATATTTATATGTTCAAATACATAAATAACATTCATCAAAATCAAATACTGTAGAAGATATTCAGCATATATACCATTAGTCAGCATCGTGCATGCATGAAAGGCCTCCACTTTTTTGAATGATCAAGCATATGACTACTATCGATGATAACCGTTTTCTTTTCAACGACTATCATTGTCGTCCAATTACAAGATTGGAAGTTATCTTTATCCTATTGATCATAATTGTCCCATTTATTATTATTATTATTATTATTATTATTATTATTATTATTATAGAGTAGTGAGTCTCTATAGATTAACTAAGTAAATCTATATTTATGATGTAAGAAACAAAATAGTCGAATCAAAACAAGTGAAAACATTAAAGAAAATAAACAGTAAATAACTATATAGCAACATATTACTTACAATGACCTTGAGGAAACAAATCAATATTACTAGGGTATGTTTATGAGTAAAAGTACTATTATTATTATCAGAATGGGTTTTGTGAAGATTTTTAAAAATTTCACTGGTTGAAATCATGAGTTATTTGAAGCTAGACTGATTTCAGGAGACACTCCTGAAGTTCTAGTGAGAAGTCGTTACCAGTGGAGTTCAACTAGGTCTGTTGTGAGATAGGAACTCACTGAAAACAATGGTGTATGATGGTGCAACTTTGTGGATTGGTTGAACTTAGATATTAACACCGTTGGATGCCAGCCGGCTCAGTGGTCTGATGGTTAAGTGCTGGCGCGCGAAACCAGTAGGTACTGGGTTCGAATCCCGCAGGGTGCAGGATCGTGGATGCGCACTGCTAAGGAGTCCCGTACCAGGACGAAATGACCGTCCAGTGCTTCCAAGTTTTTCATGGTGGTCTAACTTCAATTGACTCATGACTTCAACCAGTGAAAAGTACTTTTTATGTTTGAATACACAAGAACAGGTTAAATGTTAACCATTCGCCTTAAAAAACGAATAACTTATACTAATACTAATACTACTGTGATGTGTGCTACTTATATTGACGTAAGTAGTAGTGAAGGTCTAACAGCAGAGAGACAAGAGGATCGAACATTAAAGAATGGAAACAGAATGCAATTTGTATGAAAATGGAAGAACAATGAAGTCTGTGTCATTATGAGACAACTGATGGAAATTTTTGCAAATGAAGTATTTATTGTATGATTCTCAGATTTTACTGAGATTCTATAATTTTATGTTGAAATATATCCGATTGTCCCCATTGGTGTCCTCGTTCATTATACTTCCAAGACTATACACACAGCCAATATCGCAACTACTCACATTACTACTAAAAATACTACGATCACTCATACCACTACTGTAGTGTATACTACTTATGCTGACGGATATAAGTAGTACGTAGATGCAGTCGGAAGTAGAATACTTGTCAGCAGAATATTGAATTGAAGAGAACAGGAAGAGGAACAGAGAGAAATTGTAATAACAACACGACTATAAGAATCATAAAGTATAAACAGGACAATTGAAGGAAGATGTTCAATTATTGTATTTCACGTATAATTTTCATATTATACTAAGGTACTCTGTGATTTTGATTTAACAACAAATTGTTTGTCATACTACAACGAATGGGGCTCTCTCCTCGTGGGTACCTGTAAAAAGTCGGGTTCCCCAAGGCACAATCCTAGGTCCTTTTCTCTTTTTACTTTATGTAAATGAATTGCCAACTTTAGCAAAATCATCCGTTCTACTCTTCGCTGATGACATAAAGATTTGGAGACCCATACATAGTATGTCGGATAGAATAGTATTACAGGAAGATCTTAGCTCATTGGTGGCATGGTTAGACAGGTGGTCACTAGAAGTAAATCCTAATAAGAGTGTAGTGATGCAGTTAAATAACTCTGATGAATCGTATGACTATACACTACGTGGATTCGTGCTACCCAAAGCAAGAAACTATAAAGACTTAGGAGTTATATTAAGCAATGATCTCAAAACGACTAGTCACTGTAAGGCTGCTGCTGCAAAAGGCTATAGGGTATTATGGTCAATTCGTAGGTCTTTCCAGTATTTAGATGATGAAATGTTTGGATTACTATACCCGATTTATGTGCGACCACATTTAGAATACGGGATTCAAGCAGCGAGTCCTTATTTCAAATATGAAGCAGATATGCTAGAAAGAGTTCAACGACGAGCTACTAAGATGGTACAAGGTCTAGCTGGCCTATCTTATGAAGACAGACTGAGACACCTTAATTTATTTCCGTTATCTTACCGTAGAGTACGGGGTGATCTAATATTGGCTTATCGTATACTGAACGATGACCTTGGTATTAACATGTCTTATCTTTTGCTTCCGTCTAGAACCGATCATTTGAGAGGACATTCGAAGAAAGTTCAAAAACCGAGATCAAACCGTTTACGTCTGGAGTTCCGTTTCTCGCACCGAGTAGTGAATTACTGGAATTCCCTACCGGAACACGTAATATCAGCACCGTCTGTTAATATATTCAAAAAGAGATTGGACCTCCACAGTATTACAAACTGCAAGGATTAATATAGGTCGACAGACCTCCTATCCTTATTACTGAAG